GATTCATTTGGCCTTTGAAGTGAAATTTTACCCACCTCTCTTCATACTTACCTATGTTTGTTTACAAGGAAAGGTAGGAAGAGAAGAAGGAAAGAAAGGAAAAAGAAGAAAGGGCATATTAGTCCAGATGTTCTGACCCCTGCATGCATGTTAGGATCACCTGGAGAGGTTTTCAAAATCTTGATACTAAATGAAATCAGAATTTCTGGGCTTGTGATCCAGGCAATAGTATTGGTTAAATATCTCCAATTGATTCTAATGTGCAATCAATGTTGAGGACTATTATACAAGTTGGATACAGCCCATGTAATTACATATTTCAAGTCCCAGATCAGAACATATATGATAGCTATCATTTCTTGAGTGCCTATTCTGACAGGGATTCTGATATCCTTATCTTTTTCTCAGGAAAAACCTTAATTGGGTGAGAGTACAATTACTTTTCACATATGAGGAACAGAGGAGGTAGGTAGCTTACTTTATATCCTATAGCTATAGGATACAGCCAGCTCCAAAGTCCAGATTCTTTAATGCAGCTGACTATTACACAATGTGAGATTGATGGGATTTGTGTTTCAGATATGAGACAATTATGTGTTGTAGGGAGAGCATCAAAAAGTTGAGAATTTATAGACATTTCAGTGACTTATAGGAAATATAGGCAGCAAATTGGAATCACAGCTGATTTAGAATCAGACACATTAGCTACAGCTAACATCTCCTAAATCTTTGAAATCACTAGATTTCGAAAAAGAAGCCTAGATATTTTCCACTGAGTAAATGGGGAAATCAAGACTGTTTTGGTTCAAGACTAGTCAATCTAGGAGTTGAACCCATTTGAGGAGAGCATTGGCAATAGCTGCTCCTACCACTTCTTTCATAGTGTTTTTAAGAGTGGGCTGGCGAGGATGTGGGGAAAAGGTACGTTGCAAATTGGTGCAATCACTCTGGTGGAAAGTATGGAGATTCCTCAGAAAGCTGGGAATGGAACCACCATTTGACCCAGCTATTCCCCTTCTCGGACTATACCCAAAAGACCTAAAAGGAGCATACTACAGGGACACAGCTACATCAATGTTCATAGCAACACAATTCACAATAGCTAGACTGTGGAACCAATCTAGATGCCCTTCAATAGATGAATGGATAAAAAAAATGTGGCATTTATACACAATGGAATATTACTCAGCACTAAAAAATAACAAAATCATGGCATTTCCAGATTATGGATGGCATTAGAGCAGATTATGCTAAGTGAAGTTAGCCAATCCCTAAAAACAAATGCCAAATGTTTTCTTTGATATAAGGGGGTGACTCAAAACAGAGTAGGGAGGAAGAGCATGAGAAGAAGATTACCACTAAACAGGGAAGAGAGGTGGGAGGGAATGGGAGGGAGAAGGGGAATTGCACGGAAGATGGAAGGAGACCCTCAGCGTTATATAAAATTACATATATGATGGTGTGAGGGGGAAGAAAAAAAAGAGAGAAATGTGTCACAGTAGATTGGGTAGAGAGAGGTGATGGGAGGGGAGGGGAGGGGAGGGGGGATAGGAAGGGCAGCAGAATACAACTGACACTAGGATTGCTGTATGTATACACATGGATGTATAATCAATGTGATCCTTCAATCTGTACACGTGGAAAAATGAGAATTCATGCCACATTTGAATCAAATGTATGATATATCAAGATCATTGTATTGTCTTGAGCAACTAATAAAAAAAACATCCAGTTTAAATAAAAAAAAGAGTGGGGCTGAAAAATCTATTACAATCTGCTTGTACCTCTACTGAAAATTCTATAGAATATAGTGATCATGAGTTCTAGTTTCTTGCTATATGACCTCAGGCAAGTTATATGTTCCTCCACACTTCGGTTTTTATCTGCGAAATGGCGTTAGTAACAGCCCTCACCTCAGTGGGGTTTTGCATAGATTCCATGTGATAATGCTTCCAATGCTCCTATACAGGGCTTAGCATATGTAATATTCAAAAAGTGTTATGGCTTAATATTGCTAACCTTTTTTGTTCAATATACATCCATTCTTTAGAAGACCTGTCTGTTTAATAAAAATGGCTTTTTTTGAAAGAAAGAAAGAAAGAAAGAAAGAAAGAAAGAAAGAAAGGAAGAAAGACTGGAGTAAGAATAGCTACTATCATTCCATTTTTCTACTGAGAAAACAGAGGCTTGGCAAGATTGTCACTTGCTCCATGTTAGACACTGCAGTATTTTGTCACTCTATGTCCATCATCTTAATCACTATACTATAGTGACTTTTTTTTTATTTGGGGAGTTATACCAGGCATTGGTATAACTTGGGGTATTGGGGTACTTAACCACTGAGCAACATCCCCAGCCTTTTTTTTTTTTAAATTTATTTAGAGACAGGGTCTCACTGAGTTGCTTAGGGCCTCACTTTTGCTGGGGCCGGCTTTGAACTCGTGATTCTCTTGCCTCAGTCTCCTAAGCTGCTGGGATTTCAGGCGTGCACCAGCGCACCCAGTTTATACGGGGTCTTCATAAGGAGACTTGAGGAGTAGAGGCAGGTAATATGATGATATATTGCATGGGAACTTATTTTAAGTTTGTCAACTGTCAAAGAAAAATGTACCAAAACCTGCTTCAAACTTCCCACAATCTTGTTATTGAGGAAAATGTTTTCCTAGATGAGTTGTCTTGAATACCCCCATTAGACTATGGAATCTGGGAATCCTGTTAGAATTTTCTTCAATTAAGTCATTAAAGATAATACCAGTTAAAAGTTTTTCTTGGAATATAAACATCAATGAAATAATGTATTAAAGAAAAGTATCTTCTTTTGTCCATGCTCTGCTCTGTCTATCCCATATGTTTATGCTTATATAATATTCACATTGATATGATGCCTGGGAGTTGTTTAAGGGCTGGCTTTCAAGACAACCACATTATAAAGATTGCCACACTCTGCTAAACAGTCTTTACATTTTTATGACTATATTAATTTTGTTGAGCACTTAGGGCTGACTTTAGATATTCATCTACTTTTGGAGTATTTGGTTTGTTTGTAATTAATTATTCAGTGTTGTAAACCATAGTATTATGATCATATTTTTGTAGGCAAGTTTTTATTCTGTGGTGTTGTTTCTTTATGATAAATTCCCATGGGATATTTTTCAAGTTTAATAATATAAAAACTTGATTTTGTTTTTTTTCCATTTTTATTTTTTTTATTGGCTGTTCAAAACATTACAAAGCTCTTGACATATCATATTTCATATATTTGATTCAAGTGGGTTATGAACTCCCATTTTTACCCCATATACAGATTGCAGAATCACAT